CGTCACAGATGCTCATCGTATGCGAAAAGGGCTTAGATACGCCGGACGGACAGCGCGCGAGGAGGCGGTAGACGAGATGGTGAGCGGGAGCAGGGCTCGGCTGGATCGGCACACGTTGCCACGTGGGTGATGGGTGACGCAGGGGTGATGTGTCACAGATCTTGGAAGGAGGCAGGAGAATTCACACGGTTCGAGCGTGCATATGCAGGCCACGTCTCCGCCCATGACCGCCGCGACTATAGAAGGTAGAGGTGCAAACCTGGTGCTCTGGAATAAGGACCTGCGGCGACGCCGCAGCGCGAAAAGTTCATGTTGGCTTGATCCTACTGAGCCTGCTAGGCTACGAGTAGAGTTGAAGGAAATTAGACTCCTGGCGCAGGCGTACGGCATCACGGAGCAAGTTGCGAGCCTTCTGCAAGGCGCATCATATCACTTCAGGCAAACAACAAAAGAGCAGCAATGTGGCCCTACGGTCCAAGCCCGAATCGAACAGGCATCTCCTACATCTAGTAGCGTGTAGGTGCGGACCTCTCAGCAATTATACCTTTCTCCTCTGCGAATGAATCTGGTTAGAATCCTGAATTTTGAAAGTCAGTCACAGTGGAGGCAGACGTTCCATATTCGATGACGATCCAATGCAGATTATTACTGCGACAACTGAAAGAAGAGGAGCGCGGGGATTTACTAAGGTGGATTCATTGTTCCTTGAAGCAGAGGGGTCGAGAAAAAGAAACGATCAAACGTCAGCATGGTCCAAGCTAGACTCGCGACCAGTCGTACTTAGTAAGCAACTTTGATCACGAGACGAGCAGAGGGATCAAAGCTTACTAGAACGACTGGAACATTTGGGTGCGATTTTTGGTGGACCCGCCAAATGTGAGTTCGGACTTGGGAAAATAGTGTCCTGAACCTCAAAAGAAACTGTCAAAAGTTCCTATATGAAACTGGAATAGTTTTGAATTCTAAGCTGAATGAGCCCAGCATGTTTTTGAGGTTGGGTGGAAGGTGCTCGACGTCGCCGGCGCACGGACCAGTTGACGATGCCGAGCACTTTTATGTCATCTCAAAAAAAAAGTCTGTCTCATTCACCTTGAAATTTGAAAATACCCAACTTTGTCTATATGACTTTTTACACTTTTTCAGAGGGTTCGGGGCGCTCAGATTCCAAGTCCCAACTCATGTTTGGCGGGTCCACCAAGATCGGCAACCAAATGTCCCAGCCGCTTCGCAACGTGATAGCGCAGCCACGTGAGTCGAAGCGGTTGGTCACGAGCCTAGGTCCAAGCCCGAATCGAACCGGGTGTCTCCTACACGTGATTTGTAAAGACGGCAGGTGCGGGCCTCTCCGCGATTGGACCTGAATATCGGAGGGTAAAACCTGGATAGGTGGAAGAGGAGTAGGCACAAAAAGGGGACGTAGATCGGAATTAGTCCAATTGTGGCGTTGATTCGGGATTCTCAGGCTTGTGAGGAATAGCTTAACCTGAACGGTCAACCCGCACTGAAGTCAAGTAGAATGGCACGCTGAAACCAATGAGATAGACTAACTTGCTGGAGACTCGGAGGCAACAAAGGCACGCGGGCGCTCGCGGCGTACAAATGCGAAATCTGCGCACGTGATGCAGGTGCGGGCTTCTCAGCAATGGGAGCTGAGGACTGCTGGGAAGAGCCTCATTAGATGTAGTAAACGGCCCAGCTGCGCAGCCCGAAACACTGAACAAAAAACGCTTAAATCTCACCTCCACGGTCCAAGCCCGACGGGCGTCTCCTGCGTGCGTCTATTATTTCTTCGCACCAGAATGCGAGGCAGGTGCGGGCCGCTCCGCAATTGGACCTTACAAGGGCTGAGAAGAGCCTGAATAGGCAGCTAAATGTTTGTGAGGAACAGGAGTCGACGCACGGGTGGATATAAATGCTCTGCTCAGCGCTGAGACGCTGCCGAGACTGGGGGAAAATTAGACAGTTAGACCTCTATACCGCGGTCCTCTTGGCACCAGGCTCAGGGTCCAAGGCCGGATCGAACGGGCGTCACCTGCATATAAGAGACTTGCAAACCCGCCGAAGCATGCGCGGCCACTCCGCAATTCGACCTGTATAGTGCACAGTCCAACCTGAATAAACCGATAGCTCAATATCCAGGGCGAAGGGGAGGAAGCCGATACCGACCGGATTCGGCACTGATCGAATACTTCTACCAAAACATTACATGTATACAGCTCACCTCGAAACCCACACATGGCCCAAGCCCGAATCGAACGGGCGCCGCTTGCCCGCGGATTCAGTGCAAAACCATACATGGCAGGTGCGGCCTCTCCGCAATTGCCCTGAGTCCTGTGCAGGAGAAGCTCAATAGAGGAGAAAATTTAAGCAAGGAAGAAGGTAGCCCACACACATTATGGATCTGAGTTTCTCTCCCCTAGGCAGTCCATGCAGAAGATGATCGCGCAATGACCACGGGGCTTCCGAGGGCCCAGCGACCGAACTAGAGTTCCAGGCAGAACCTTCATGCAAAAAAAAAGCGAACCGGCGACAAGTCCCAAGCCCGACTCGAACGCCTGTGATCCATTTCGCTTTGCAAATGCCGACGTCCCTCCCACGAGCGACCTCCTGGATTATAATGTCGGGGGGGTGAAGGTGGAGTCAGGGTAATGAGTGGGAAATGCTGAATGCGATGGTGTCATGGTCAACTCCCGTTTTTTATACAGGTCTCCATCGCACGTGACGTATGGCAACAGACTTGTTGTCCCCTTGTATTCGGAATTTTTAATGTATTCGCCCTTGTCTCGTGAGAGGCATTGTTCGACCGTGGCACCCAATTGCTCCAGATGAATATACCAGCCAAATCGGTGTCCGCTCACGGACAATGATAGCATTCAGCTCAGTGCAGGTACCTGATTATCATCGGCACTGGAAGCGAGCGAGGCAAGTCCGGGCACTCCGCAACTAGATCTGGATTACTCAAATGGCTCGGTTAATGGGTCGGGAAGCTCAAGACCGTCGGAGGAAATTCCACTCCGAAATGGGAGCTCAAGACGACGACGTGGATAAATGGCTTAATGGCACCCGGAGTAAGTAACGTATGGACAGCTGGAATGAGTGCACCTTCGATTTGCACCTGGGGATGACGGGACAGAGAGGCGGATTAATGCAAAGGCCAGAGATGGAAAAATCCTCTCTACCACGAACGCGGTCCAAGCCCGAATCGAACGAGCGTCGCCTGCAAGTGTATTGTATTTTGGAATCTTCAAGCATTTAATGCAGGTGCGGGCCGCTCCCCAATTGGACCTTGCTACTGTCTAAATGAACCTGGTTAGATTGAGGACATTTTCACAGTATTTGAAGGCGAACGCACATTTGGTACATCAAGCTGTGATCGGATCCTTATTTCCGAGTCACGGCATGCCAAATTGGCACGGAACCCACCCCAAAAAATGCTAGACAGAGTCGGGTGCAAGCCGAATTGAGGGAGGCACAGATTATGGATGCAGGAGGACGGAAAATGCCTTCCGCTCACGCCCATACGGTCCAAGCCCGAGTCGAACAGGCGTCGCCTGCATGTTCATCCAGTGCGGGTTCTGTGAACGGGAAGCAGGTGCGGGCCGCTCCGCGGCCCTGAATAGGTTGATTAGTTTTTTTTAAGACAGACACGCACACATAGCTTGATCTTGGCTCCTTCCCTGGGTGCGATATGCTCGGCACTTTCCTTGGGTGAGGGATTCGTGGTGAACACTAGCGAGAGTCACATCGGTATTTGAACCTAGGTTGCTAGGGCTGGATCAATTTACTCAGGTGGCGCTTCGGCGAGCACACCTGTGGAGTGATCGTAGTTTCATCTTGGAATGGGCATTAGCGGGCGAATATGATGAATGTGTGAAGGAAGTCAATCATTAAGCGCCCGAAACACAGCGAGAGAACACGAAAGAAGAGGAAATGGCAGCGCAGAGAACCCCGTCGAGGGCTCTATACGAGTCAAGTCAGAGACGAGTACAACGAGAAAGAAAATCAAGGGGTACCCGCCGGAGAATGCCGAGACATTAGGTAAGAGGGGAGGGGGGGGTCTGAGATCCTTATTTCACTTTTTGGAAAAAGTTGCGGGACACCTCAAAAACACGTTTCAGACAATCAAAAAAAATCTATCTTTTTAAATTTTCTTTGGGTGGCCATGGGCACTCGGGGAGCAAGTTTGGCTCATCCCAATTTGACTCCAATGCGATCGACATCGATACCAAGCACATACACTCCCACATTGGCCGAAAATACTGTGACCGGCACCAAGATCACTGGTTGGCACGGACTCAGAGGCCCCTAAGAAGTCTTGTACGCGGCATGGCCCGGGTAGGGTAACGAGGCATGCCCAGTGCGCTGTCGTCGCATCAGATGAAGAAGCTGAAGGCCACGGCTGTGCTGACCCGCATTGCACCGAAACTGGTAACATAGAAATGGTTGAATGCGCTGGCCCGGCTTGTGGCTCCAAAGTTTGTGTTTACAGACTCACTGCACACAGCTCAATCTCTTCCAAGTTTGATTTGTGTTGTGCAGACTTGAAAACTATCGGAGCGGCGCGCACATGCATCCTACCGTACCGATCCTGTTCGACTCGGGCTGGGGCGCGGCTTGTATTCAAACAGGTGTTCCCACTGTGCGTATTTTCCGTGCCCGCCACGATCAACTTGGGCTTGGATTTTTTTGCCGCACATTTTCCCCGTCAATACCTCATTCAACGATGAGGTCCAGATCTATCGACAGCTGTGTCCGCCCGTCGCCGCATCAGGATATCGACCCATCCACCGAGGTTCCATGATATTCGCACTCTTATTCCCCGCGAATGCCACGCCCGATCATATAGCACTCAATGAAGGCAATAAGACCAATCCACATGTGTGATTTCATGTTGACATTTGGCCGTTCATTCAGGCTTTTGTCAAGGCCTCCGGCTTGCGGTACTCCCTCCCCATCAGCGACATCAACCCAGCTATTCAGCTTCCAGTGCGTAGTATCCAGGTCTAATTGCGGAGAGGTCCGCGCCTGCATTACATGCATGGTTGTTCGTTCAAGCTTATTGCACGTGCAGGATACGCCCGTTCGACTCGGGCTTGGACCGCGTCTGGATCTCCGCGACTTATTTTTTCACACTTCGTCCAGATACGCATACCCCGTCAGCGCTTCGTGCATCCAGCCTATACTCGCCACTCCTAAAGTCCAATTTCGAAGCCGGGCCCGCACCTGCAACGTATGGCTCAGCCAGTCACGCCCGTTCGAGGACTGTCCGCGTGGATTGCGAGTTCTTTTTCTTTTGCATCCATATTGCATTCGTAGCCTCCTTGAATCCCGCCCCATTCCGGTGTGCTGTCCGTTGTCCTCTGTACTCCCTGCTTGAGGTAGGTTTTTCGGGCGTCCCAGTAATGCTCTGTATTTGGTCAGCACGGAATGTATATCATAGCAAGCTTACCCCGCCCTTCAAACATCCATCTGACCAGGTTAATAGCTTTTTTTCTTGCGTGCCTGCAGTGATATGATGCGTGTCGCGACTTGGTTGCGCCTTAATCCGTGGCGTAGATATGTCCGCTGCAGGAATTACAATTCCAGGCTCAACCACAAACACCCAGGAGCCAACGGGACCATTTCCCTCTTGTAGCGTTGTTGTGAGTCCTTAGCTCCGAGAGGTGGATTGAATGAAGCGGCTAGCGGCGCGCATGCGCAGGGGTGGGGGGATCCAACGGTTCGAATGTTTCAAGATTTCTGACACATCACCCCAGCGTCATCCATCACTCACGTGGACAATGCTGCCAGTCTCGCACATTCTGGGGACTGGCAATCCCTGTCAAACAAATGTCTGTTTGTTCCTTGTTTGTTCTTCGTCGGTCCAGGCTACAGCCTTCCACACTTGCCGTAGCACCTCAAAAAGAAATGCATATGCCTTGTGAAAGGATTCTTCAGGGAATGTCCCGAGCAGAATGTTTAATTTTGGCCTAGGGAAGGCGGTACGAACTGCCTAATTTGGCTGTGAAACACCAAATTCTCACGAAAAGAATTCATGAGGGACGAACAGAGCACAAAATAAAATTCCGTCTGGGACATTCCCTTTGAAGGTGAAAGGGCTACTGATGCTACAGCAGGAGTCCGGCCAGAATGTTGACGACTGAGGCTGTAGGATGGACCAAAGGCAGTCCGCCATCAAAACCCTTTACGTTGCCAGTCCCCAACCAAAGCGCCGGGATAAATGTGACGCACTCGCGGCGCTTTTCTTGCGAGTCTTTCGGCGGCGAGGATCAAGTGGGATGAACGCTGGGCGCTGTACTACGTCAGGCGCCCATCCGCGTCACTCCTCCGCCCTCACGGTCCATGATGCTCCTTCTGTATTGTATTTGGGTGTGCTAACTGCACCAGCTTGCGACCCAAGATTAGCTGATGTGCATTCTCCACCCACTCATTTTTCGCCGGTGCCCCTGATTTGCCCGTGTTTTCTCTCATAGGGTCCTCCCTCTGGCACGCCGCGAGTCCTTGTGATGCCCGTGGCCTGGCTTGGCCTGAAAGCCAGGGCTTTGGCCTGGCTTGAGCGGGCCTGGGCTTACGATTCTTCAGGCCAAAGCCCGAGCCCGCGAGTAAGGCTTGGCCTGACCTGGCTCGGGCCTGAGCCAGGGCCTCTGTAGGTACCCCCGCCCCCGCTTGATTTGATATAGACCTGCATGCATGAAAGATATAAAGTGCTATAACATGTTGAACAAAGGTGATAAGTACAATCCACATCCATCTTCGAGCCTTGGTAGCTAATTTAGAGTACCATAGAGCTCCGCGCAAGCAGAATTTTCTTCGCACGGTGTCAAAATGTTTCAAAATGTTGTAAATCCGGAGGGAAGAAAGGAACTCGAAAATTTGAGCAAGTTGAGCTTGGTTGAATCTCGGCGGGGTCGCACTGGTATGGGTGATTGTCCAAGCCAGGGCTTGCGGGCCTGGCTCGGGCTTGAAAATCTTCAAGCCCAAGCCCTGGGCCCTCTCAAGCCCGACGTCTGGCCTGGCTTGGCTTGCCAGTGGCCAGAACGGGCCTGGCTTGTCGGGCTAAGGGCCTCAGGCCAGGCCATGGGCATCAGTAGCCTCGACGCGGCGTGTATCCCTGTCGCATTAGCGGCAGCTCCCCTACCGCTCGGTATGTACGCCATTTCGCGCTGTATGCGGTTTGCATCTTCTATCTATACGCTCTCGCACCACAGGTTAAATTCGATACGTCCTTGAGCATTAGAAACAAAATCCTCAGTAGTATCTATGCCTCTTTCATTGCGATTTTCGACTGTGGAATTAGCTAAGAGTCTGTTTGGATGCTTCAATATATTGTCATTGTTGGTTGTTGTACCATATCGAGTAATCTCATTGTCGATTACTAAGGCTGCCTAGTAGTGACCTGATGTGTGACCCGACATGATTGCGTCCATTCCCACGCCAATCTTTCACGCTACAAACAGGTGTTTGACGAGCTTTCGACGCGATGATGCCCCCAAGACAGCGCCAGGACGTGGCCGACGACGACCCCGCCTCTATTCCGGCTGGCTCCGGCACATCCAAGGCCGAGAAGGCCCAATGGGAGCAACTAGAAACCAAAAACTTCCTCCAGTTCCTTGTGACGAAAAAAGACAAATCTGGGGACGGCGGCAACTTCCCGGGGCCGGTCTTCACAGATGCATCGTCCAGGCTGCAACCTCATGTGAAGAAAGGTGCCCCCAAGACAGCCAAAGTATGCCAGAATAAATATGCTCAGGTGCGTGCTTGTCTGTCTTTTTATGCAAAATCTCATGTCCTGAAGCTTCGGGGCATATATTCTGTTGTCGACGCGATCCGTAAGAACTCAGGATGGCACTGGGACAACGAAAAGGGGGCCTGCATCACTGCGGAAACCCAATCGACATGGGACGACTACGTCACGGCACACCCGAAGGCTAAGCCTTTCAAAAACAAAGGATGGGAGTGGCTGGCTCTCATGGACGAGCTCATGCCTCCTAGGGTGTCCGGGGCTCATGTCTACCATGCTAGCTTGGGCACCGGTGTCGACGGAGATGATCTGGTGGACAAATCGGGCAGCGACAAGGACGGTGAGGACACACCAAGCAACATGCCACAGGGCAACGGCCGTAACACCGGAGGACGTTCTTCAAGTCCTGCCTGGGGCCCCTTCGATTCAGGATCCCCTGAAGCGTCTCCTGCTCCTAAGGAGCCCGAGGTTACTTTATTCTTTTGTATGTGCATAGTGATCTTATACTGCCCATAGAATTAAAAGCGCCCGGCCCTTTCGACACCTCCTCGTTCTTGACCGGTAGTCAAGAAACCTCGCGTCTCATCTGGATCCGCTGCTCTCGCACAGCTCGCAAACTCCGTCACAGATGTTGGTGATAGCATCCGCGTGGCTCTCGCCCTGGCCGATCACGGCGGGCTGGAGGCCACCCCTCGTCGAGTGCAGAGGGCTATTATGCGGGCTCAACAGTTGGAGGCAGGTTGGCTAACACCGCAACAGCTCGTCGCCTTCATCAATATTCTGGAGGACAATACGAAGGCCGTCGACACGTATGCCGTACTCATGGATGAGTCGTTGTGCAAGTCGTGGATTAAAGATAAGCTTGGCTTGGTGGACTTTGACTACAGCCTGGGTGTAGGGATGGATACAGGGGGCTTTGTATTCCACTAATCGAACACTTCTTTGTGTTATTAATGAATCAATCTCTACTCAACTTCTCCTCGCTCGCGAAGTATTTCCTGATAGCTTTCCCACATAGCCTGCGCAATTCGATCCCGGTTTTCTGTTGCCCTTTTCTTTTCGTCATCGTCTGCAGGGCCCTTGCCTAATGCTCCAAAGTCTACATCACTGCGTGCACCGGGGTCTGCATCTCCGTCTTCGCCGTCGAGGTCCAGGATATCTTCTGGATCGTGCTTGAGAATCAAATTATGGACAGCAGCAAGCGCAGGGAGAATTTGGGCTTGAATCTCCATGTCGAACTGAGGTGGATACACAAGGATAGTCCACCGCTTTTTGACGACACCAAAAATCCGCTCGATGACATTCCGAGCAGAGGCATGTCGCAGATTAAACAACTCCTCTCGATTTGCAGGACTAGTCACTACTCATTAACATGACAGCAGCTATGAATTGGGATTATACACCGTACATTTGCCCGACCCCATTCAGCTAGATGATAGCGCACACCACGGTATGGGACAAGAAGGGCATCACATATCCCAAACCCAGCATCTGCCAGGTAGTACTTGCCTTCCGGTACACGAAGATCGTGAAGACAAGCATCATTGTAGATAGCGCCGTCAGCAGCTGATCCCTCCCAGCCACTGGTGACATGCTGGAATTCCATATCCAAGGAGCAGCAGCAGACGGTATTCATAGAGACTCCGCCTTTGCGATTCCGGGCAGCATGGCATTCAGCAGCCGATGGACAACAATTTATGTGTGTACCATCCATAGCCCCGATGCGTTCGGGGACGGGGTCATCAATGAGTGGCAGCTTCACATACTTGGTGTAAAACGGGGGAGATGCGACGGCGATAAGAATGCGGCGGAAATATCTAAATCATGCAATTAAAAATAGGGAGGGACAAAGAAGGGATAAAGTCACCTGGATATTGTTTCGTTGGAATGTTGAAATTGTTCCCCCACATGACGAACAGACAAGCCTGTCACACATGTAGAGGAAGATGGCAGCCTGCTCCTCCAGCCGTAGATAGTTTGAGTCCTCCAGGCCCGAAACACCTCGAAGCTCAGCAACAAAAATGAGGAAGACATGCATATGCATCCCCAGTTCGCAGTGAATGCGCTCCGGATGGCCATTGATGAGCTCAGACACCCAGGCGTCACCAGTGAGTGCCGAAGTGTGGTAGCGCTGTTTCCAGTACAAAGGGTTGGCGTAAATGAGGACAGCAAGGGAAACAGCTTGGATAATCCATGCAGCAGCCAATAGGTCACGTCTCTGTAGCGCAGGATCAATGTTTTGAGGCGGCATAGAGGACCCATGTTTATGTGATTCAAGGTTGTCGCCATCATTCGGACAAATCTCCTGATTTGCCCAAGTGAAGTTAGAGGCAAAGTTCGGACAAACGGGGGGGTCCGCCTGTCCAGGTCAGAGCCAAAAATTCGGACAATGAGGGTGGCTTTGGATGAGGTCAGATCGCTGTTCGGACATCTGATCAAGCACCGCCCAAAGTTCCTCGTCGAGCCAGGGTGTGGCCACCGTAAATTCAAAGCACAATGTACCCATAGTTACCAAATGAGATTTAGCTACGGGTGGCATTCTGCACCATCCTCCTTCAGGTCCCCTGCTTGCCTACAGCATATCATAGCCAACTTGATTTCTACTGCCTGTTCAGCTATGGAAACAATCGATGTACTAGGTGACAGCGAGGAAACTCAGCTGTCGACAAAATGGGATCCCGCCAAGTGGATCTCCTGTGGAAAAATATATTATGATGTCCCCCCCTTCGTGGACACGGCTCGACCACTATGCTCGAAATCCCCGCTGCCTTCGCCCAAAAACTACCCTCTAAATCCATGTCCATATCCACGAGCATATTGGAGGTTGTGGAGGACAATGGAGTCGCAGAATAATTTTAAATTTTATTTTGGAGCCCCTAGGCGTGTCTAGGGAAAATTTTGAGGTTAGAAGCAAAGTTCGGACAAAATTGATGTCGAGCGGAGGTCAGAGCCAGAATTCGGACGAAATTTTGGACAAGGTGTTGAAGAAAAGTTCGGACAAATTTATTTTTAAGGCCAAAATGGGGGACGACCTCGAATGACATAAACATGGGTCCTCGGCATAGTGGCTGGAACGCGTCTGCGACGTGTGTAGATTGGCATGGGAACGGACACAATCACGTCGGGTCACACATTAGGTCACTACTAGGCAGCCTTAATAATTGACAATGAGATTACTCGATATGGTACAACAACCAACAATGACAATATATTGAAGCATCCGAACAGACTCTAACTGGTATATATTATGCAACGTGCGGAAAGCTGGTTATTACCAGCCTGCGGACCGAAGACGCCTCGCGAGTCACCGCGCCCTTTCGCTGCGCGCCGGCTTTCGGCGCACGGCGGTGTGCTCTCTCGCTGCGCCTTGACCCTCTGGTGCTGTGTGGCCCCGCCTCCCCTTGATGCGCCCGTCCGCCATTGTATCGGAGGGGCCTGTGGAGTGCTTGTCTCGTTCCTCTCGCACCCTCCCCTGCGGCGCGTGCATCAGATCCCACACTCACATACTGGACTCAGGGGTTCACGGGATAACAAGCCGGCGTCGACCAGTGGAAGGTCATCCTCGAAATGTGTTTTGCGTGTAGGCATCCGAGGAAGACGGGGGTTCGATTCCCCTCGACGGCGTAAGCTGTGGCGGTCGAGTCTACTTTTTCGCTGTCACTATTCACCTACCTCTATCTGGCTTGCCTGGGCTGATATACCGGGTATAGAGCCGTCGTCGAGCAGTGGATAGTCTTCCCCGAAACGTGGGCTCTAGCTCCTTATACACCCGAGGACGACGGGGGTTCGATTCCCCGCGGCGGCTTGCAGATCCGGTTCGAGCATCCATTTTCTTCACGATGCTTTTTGCGAGCCTTTCCACCAGCATTTATGCGGCACTCGTCATCGCAGTACCACTGGGCGATTAAACCGTGCATATCTCCAATCCCTGTCTTCCTCGGTGGTACTCGCGGGTGGTCGACGAGACCTTCGGCACTCCGCTGATCGAGGCGGAGTGGAAAGTGACGCCGAAAGTACAAAGAGAAGTGAAAAAGAGGAAGAGAAAAGATTCCAGGCCCCAGGGGCAATCAATAATACCGTCGAGGGGAATCGAACCCCTGGCTTCCTCGGATGTCGAAGGAACTGGGATTTAAACTTGCGAGGATGACCTTCCACTGGTCGACGACGGCTTGCTACCCTATCGACACTGAGTAGAGTTGGAGTTGGCGGGGCATGCCGCAGGGGAATCACTGCGTTCAACGGGGACCTAGACTCGACGTTGCCTACCTCCAGGGAGGTCTGCCTGTAGCCATAGACGCCAAATTTGTGTCTAGGTGGTTGTGTCCAAGTGCGGCTATCTGTGAGTATCGACTTAGACTTTGCTGTCTATTCTTGCCTAGACCTGCCGAGGCTGTGTCGAGGCCGGGAGGCAGGCCTCCGTGGCGCTAGGCAATTCGCCGTCTAGCTGCCCGCTGAACGCAGTGAATGTGCGAGGCAAACGGCTGGCCGAGAGGAGAGCAGAGAGAAGAGAAGGCGCAGATGCGGAGGCCGCGAGCGCGGCAGGGATACCCACCGCGCCGGTGTGGGCAAAGGGGAGTCGCGACAGTCGATCGCGCGAGCAAGAATGTAGCACAAGAAACGCAAGAAGGCGGACAGTGCACAATGGCTGAGACGCAGCCGTGCGCATGAACCCCATTCCTGGGACGCTTGCTAGTGGGATTAGCACACTATGTAATACAGAGGGAGGGACGCACCCACGATCGACCATCCAGCATCCAGCATCCAAAAACCCATCTACCGCCATGAGAGATGTGATGTGTGACGTCGCCGGGCGCCAGCGTTCATCTCCGTGCGTCCTCTTAGGACGCTTAAGTTAAGCGTCCTCTCCCAAGTGGTAGCGCTAGCGCTTTCATTCAGGGAGCCGCCCCAGGTGCGTCACTGGCGAACAGAGGCGCTCTGGAGCGTAGAGACGCTGGTTGGGTACACGAGGAGCTCGGATGCGCAGGAAGGGCCCGACGAGATGGTGGCAAGAAGGAGGGTGCACGTGAGTGGCAGTGGATGACGCTGGCGTGATGTGTCAGATTACATTCGATCCGCACAGTTTGCCACGCGTACACTTATCTAGACCGTGAAAAAGGTGAAATGTCTAAGGCCAGCCTAAGGACAGAGTGAGATTGGCTGCCGCATGATCTGAACAGCAAGAATAAAAAGATATCACAACCCGCGCGTATGGTCCAAGCCCGAATCGAACGGGCGTCACCTGCAGGTATATGTTGGTTCGCACAAACCTATCTGATGCAGATGCAGGCCTCTCCGCAATTGGACCTCGATAGCGTGCAATTGAGCATGGGTAAGTGAACAAATTTACTCGGGAGAAAGTGGCTGCGATTCCTGTGTGAATCATCAGGACCGACGCTAATTTGAACAGTCGAGCGTGGAAATCCCACTCGCGCCTCGAAATCCGATGGGGCACTTGGGAGAGAAGAAAGCACTCACGCAGTGTGTTGGAACGGACGTATCCTGCCAGCGAGTTCGGTGGTCCCGCAGATATACGGCAGGGGCGACCTCTCCGCAATTGGACCCGACTGTCCTGCAGTGAGACATGAATAGATGACCAATTTATATACAGCGGGCCAATTTGCCTGCGCTGATAGTTCCAATTGAATTTGGACCGATGGTGCGGTGGGGCAGACGGATCCGAGGGACCTTGGCTGCTGCAGATCTCAAAAGCGAGGTGAAAGCCAGGTAATAAAAAGACATCGGCAAGTCCCATACGGTCCAAGCCCGAATCGAACGGGCGTCGCCTGCATGTCCAGTCATGCGGCTTCAGCAATGTGGGAAGCAGGTGCGCGCCGCTCCACCCTTGGACCTTAGGAGTGCTGAGTAGAGCCTGAATAGGTGGATAACTTTCAAGAGGGACGTGGACACGTACTTAGCTTGATTATTTCATTCACTGACTGCGATATGCTCGGAACTTTCTGGGGGGATGATTGGCGGGGAATATGCTAGATGGGTCGATAAACAACCCAAACTCGACGAACACATGTTGATTATTAGCGGATATCAGAGGCAAGATTGAAGAATACTAACACCAATCTATCTGAGAATGAGAACTACACGCGAATTTCGACGAGGAAAAAGTGTATGAAGCCCTTGAATGGCCCAGGCCCGAGTCGAACGGGATTTATAATTAACTGCGGTAGGACGGGATGCAAGTACGACCTCTCAGCAACTCGACCTGGGGAGTGTGCAGATGACCGTCTGTTTATGGGCGACTTTAAGGAGATGCATTACCAAATGATGGAAAATTCGACCTGGCGCCGGAAGTTCCATCCGGAGAAGCAATATCCAAAGAGGGATGACAGCTTCGGGAGAATCCCGGCACTCAAGTGGAAGCAAAGAAAAATATGCGGGAGCACAGGGAATACCGTCGAGGGGATCGGCTTCCTCGGATGCAATGCGTAAGTAACTTAGTGTACGAGAGCAAATTCGAGGGTGGCCGTACGCTGGTTGACGACGGCTTGTGATCTCATGGATACCTTGGGTGACGTTGGTTTGATGCGCAGCAGCGGACTGTTGCGAGAGAGGAGACACGAGATTCAATGGGACCGGCGTGCGGATGCACGGCGCGGGGCGGGCGAGGCGAGGAGAGCGGAGACGCGCGGGGCAGAATAGTACGCGCCGCAGATGCGGAGCGCACGCAGCGCGAAGTGGTGTGAGGCGGAGCCGCGGAGCGCGTGGCGGCGATAGTTGGTCAGCACCACACGGAAGAAACAGGTGCAATTGGAGAGAGCACGCACAAAGTGGAAGCGCAGGGGGCACCAGGAGGGCGGAGAGTGCACATCGGGTCCGAGGCGGCGCCGCGGTGCTTGAAGCCCAAAGCTTTGTGGGTCCTAGAAAAGAACGAAGCGCGCTGCACGGACGAGCATCTAGCAAGAGGCGCGGAGGGGACTGGACGCGCCTGTTGACGGTGCCGCCCTGCGCGACACCGTGCGCCCGAATGGGAATGGCGTGAATCAGATAGTGCGTCCTATAGCGCCACGCCCCGCGCTCCGTCGCACGCCTCTTTGATCATAAAGAAAGACCGCTTACTGTGCCGGTCCACGGTGGCTTCGTCCGCTAGATTCAAGTGGAGTACAGAGCGGCGCAGAAAGGCCCAAAAAACTGCAAAACTCCTGGATCATACCGTCGGGGGGAATCGAACCCGCCGCCTTCCTCGGAATAAGTGAATGCCCGACGCCCGTTACATGGCGAGGACGACCTTCCACTGGTCGACGACGGCTTGTTACCCTCTGGATACCTTGAGTGAAGGCGGTCAATACGAGATGCATCGACAGGGAAGGCGCGAGGCAGACGAGACATAAGGCTCTACATACCCACTGATTCTGGCACCGAAAACATGGCGGAGGCGGGCATGCACGGCGGCGTAGCATGCGTGAGGAGCACGCGGCGAGCAGAGACGTCGAGGGCGGGGCGAGATAGCGGCGGAGGTGCCGAACCCACGCAGCACCAAGTGGCGTGCACGGTGGGCGGAAGGGAGCCGCGGTGAGCGCAGTCCTAAGCGCCACACGCAGGAGGCAGGCACACAGCGAATGCGCGCGGCGCCCCAAGAGGCGCGGTGCGAAAGCAAACAAGTAGGAGATGCGTAGACTCGTAACCAGTCTGCCTACGAAGGGCAAAAATGTGGCAAGCACTTTGCCGAGCCACATTTTTGCCCTTCGTAGGCAGACTGGTGACGAGTCTAGGAGATGCGGACCGGGGAGCCGAGAGCGTGGAAGAGATAAGAAATGGCGCGCTCGGGAGGCGCGACGAGAGACGCCCGCAAGCAGGGGGTGTCGGGAGCCAAGGAGAGTTAGTATGCAAACCAGGGACGTTAGTCCACCCAATAAAATACATAACGAAAAACCCATCCGGCGATATGGGCCCGCGATGGACGGCGATGAGGGTGAAGGCGTACGCCTGGACGTGGGCGCTAACGTTTATATCATCCTCGCCGCCGCGCAACTCGCTGAAGGAAAGCGCCACCGCGGGAACACACATTCAATCCCGACGGAGCGTCGCAGACGCTGATCTTATGCGGCAGGAGCTTAGATGCGCCGAACGGACAGCGTGCGAGGAGGCGTAGTGGCAAGAAGGGCGGGAGCAGGTCTCGGCTAGGTCGGCACACGTTGCCACGTGGATGATGACACCAGGTGATGTGGCAGAAATATTGGAACGCTCGAAACCATTTGAATCCCCGCATGCACGCCACGTCTCTGGCCCTGCGGGCGACCCAGGCGGGAAGGAGCCACCCGTTTAATTCATTCTGCTGCTAGGAATTAAGGACCTGCGACTACGCGCAAAATTTTCACGTTGGCTGGATCCTGGGGATCAACCAACTGCACACTCAAGCTCCTTGTTCGGCCTGTGACTAGTATGGAACGAAATTAGACTCCTGGGGCAGGTGTACGGTATCATGGAGCAAGGCGCATCATATCACTTCAGGCAAACAACAAAAGAGCAGCAATGTGGCCCTACGATCCAAGCCCGAATCGAACGGGCGTGCCCTGCACGTAATATAACCCTGTGCAATGCGACGCAAGTGCGGCCTCTCCGCAATTGAACCTTCCTAGTGTGCAAATGACCCTGGTTAGATTCTTCGATTTTTAGCAGTCATTCAAGGCAGATGCATACGTTCCGTATTCAGCGACGATCCAATGCGGAGTATTACTGTGACGCCCGAGCGAAGGGCAACATAGGAATACATGAGAGTGGATCGAAGGAGTGGGGTGAAGGAAAAAAGAGCATCGATTTGCGACGTCATGGTCCAAGCCCGAATCGAACGGGCGTCTCCTGCACGCGATGTATCCGTCTGCAAACTACAATGCGACGCAGGTGCGGGCCTCTCCGCGAGTGGACCTGAATAGCCCGCAGTTGGCCCTAGATAGCTAGACATTCCGCAGAGTGCGGGTAGATCCCTGGCGAACCTCCGCTTGAAACATGCCGACCATCTTTGGGAAGATGCCCTGGTCAGAAGGAACAAATAAATTGTGTGCCTGAGAAATTTCTCAGCCTGAACCCGGATTCAAGTCGGGTAGCAAGACACGCTCGAAGCAATGCAATTGACTCGCTCGTTGGAACATATTCGTTACGGGAGAGGCAGAAGAGGCGAACACGCGCTCCCTGCGTACAAATGCGAAGTCTGCAGCACGCGATGTGGGCACGGGCACCGACCCGACTGGACTGAATGGATGGAGTAAACGGCCAGGGTGCGCAGCCCGAAAAGCTGCACAAAAAACAACGATTCCGATACATGGTCCAAGCCCGAGTCGAACGGGCGTCTCCTGCGCGCGTCTATCATATCTTCTCGGCGGAGTGCGAGGCAGGTGCGGGCCACTCCGCAATTGGACCTTACTAGTGCGGAGAGGAACCTGAATAGATCGGTAAATTTTCGTGAACAAAAGGAGACTGGAGAAACTGAGACAGTTAGACCGCCATACCGCGGACTCCGTTCCACGCACATGATGAACTCCGAACCAAAACAATTACTGCGATGCGCAATTATTGGTCCAAGCCCGAATCGAACGAGCATCTCCTGCGCGGACTGGCTTGTAATTCCATGCGAAACAGGTGCGGGCCGCTCCGCAATTGGCGAATACTGAGCGGAGCTTAAATACGTTAGTTGATCCCTTTCAAAATAGACACGCACATGTGCATTGATCGGATTTCCTTGGTTGAGGAGGCATTTGCGCGGAGGACTGCGGATATTAAGATCATCGGCACCGGAAGCGAGGCCGTCATCGTCAGGGGGGGCAGTGGGTGGGGGATATCAGCTGCACACGCAGACCGAGGGCACGGAAAATACGTGCGGAGCAGTAAAACCAGCGCCTTGTGACTTGGTGCTGGTACGCAACGCACTTTCATCCCTCCGCATCATCTTCGGAAGTTGTAAGCGGTGGTTCTGCGAGGATATTCGAGGATGATGGACTCGCTGGATTAGGCTGGAGGACAACGAGACGGAAAAAGAAAAAATGGCTCGAGAGACAGAGAATACCGTCTGGGGGAATCGAACCCCCGTCTTCCTCGGATATACAGGGTCGGTATTACATTGCGAGGATGACCTTCCAGTGGTCGACGACGGCTTGCTATCCTATGGACACAGCGAGCAAAGTTGGAGTGAGTTTGACGCGTGGAAGCGGAATGTGCGAGGTAGACAGACGGCCTGGGATGAGAGACATATACTTTGTGACAAGGACATCAGACGAGAGTCAAGGCGCGGGGCAAGGGGGTGGGCGGCGCAGATGCGGAACGTACAGGGGCCCGCAGCGAATGCGCGCGGCGACCCGAGAGGGGCGGTGTAAGGGCGTATACGTATGAGATGCGGAGCTACGGCGAGCGCGGCAGGGATACACACCGCGTCTCCGTGTCAGAGGGGAGCCGCGGCGAGCGATCGCGTGAGCTCGGATGGAGTGCAAGGGAACGCCAGATGCCGGACAGTGTACAATAGAAAGCAGCTTCGTGCACGATCTCCATTCCTGGGACGCCGGCTGAATATTCAGGGAATACAGAGCGAGGGACGCACCCACGAACGAGCATCTAGCATCCAGCATCCAACAAGCCACCAACCATGATGAGGGATGTGATGTATCTGGGTTGTGATGTCACCGAGCGCCAGCGTTCAAAGTGGTAGCGCTGAACACTCTCGCGTTTTCCTTCAGGGAGCCGCCGCGGGGGCATTACTGGCGAACAGAGGCGCTCTGGAGCTTAGGGGTATTAGGAGCTCAGATGCGCAAGATGGCAGGGAGGACGGCGAGAAGAGACGGCAGATGAGATGAGGGCTTACCTTGATCCGCACAAGTGCAGCGGATGACGCTGGGGCGATGTGTCAGATTTTATCCGACGCGTACACTGCAAGTAGAGTCTAGAGTTCAGCTAACTCACCGTACAGAGGGTGGAATGTTTAGGAGAAACCGAAGGGCGGAGTGAGATTGGCTGCCGCGCCATCTGAACAGCAGCAATAGAAAGCTATCATCCACCCGTGCCAAATGGTCCAAGCCCGAATCGAACGGGAGTCGCCTGCAGGTATATGTTCGTCTGTATCCACACATCTGATGCTGGTGCGGGCGTCTCCGCAATTGGACCTCGATAGTGTCTGGACGTATCCTGCCAGTGAGTTCGGTGGTCTCACAGATATACGGCAGAGCGGCCTCCCTACGATTGGACCTGACTGTCCTGCAGTGAGACGTGAATAGATGAACCAATTTATACAGCGGGCTCACTTACCTGCGCTGAAAAATACACGCAAATTCCGAGGAGGAAAAAGATTATGAACCCCTCTAATGGCCCAAGCCCGGGTCGAACGGGATTTATCCTCAAGTGCGATGGGACGCGATGCATGTTCGACGTCTCAGCAACTGGACCTGGGGAGTGTGCAGATGACCATGAGTTTCTGCGTGAGTTCAAGGAGATGCATTACCAAACGACGCAAATTCGACCTGGCGCCGGAGGTTGCATCCAGAGAATCAATATTCGCAGCCTCGCGAGACTCCCCAGATTCAGGGGAGGCGAAAGACACCCTGAAAGTCAAAAAAAAAAAAAAACATGGGAGCACTGGGAATACCGTCAGTGGGACTCGAACCCCCGGCTTCCTCGGACGCAGTGCGTAAGTAGTGGATGAGAGCAAAATTGAGGGTGGCCATTCACCGGTCGATGACGGCTCGGAAAACCCGTAATCGATTTTGTCAGTGAGGGATGGGTGGACGCGCAGCACAAGAATGCGCAATGTGGATCCATGGGGCCTTGACGTCGGCGCTAACGTTTATATCATTCTCGCCGCCGCGCAAGCTGAATGAAAGCGCTGCCGCGGGGACACACGTTCTATCCCGGCGGAACATTGCAGACGCTGATCGTATGCGGAAGGAGCTTTTGATGCGCCGGACGGACAGCGCGCGAGGAGGCGGTCGAGATGGTGGCAAGGTGTGGGAGACACACCTTGCCACCATCACCAAAAGCGGGGGAATGTGTTATTCCTTTGTGGCTTGGCATCAAGCCGGTGGGGGTTTACCAAGGTTTTTGATCGTTTATAATCTCCTACCAGGCTGATAGGTGTTTTACAATCCACTCCAATGATTATAGTGAGTTTGTAAAGGTACACATTCCTGGTAGTACCCAGCGGGCCGGAGCAGGATTGTGAAAGAAATGGCCCGAGATTGCCGCATGTATATAATCCTCATGCCTTACCTTGAATCATTTCGAGACGCCCACTAATATTTCAGGGGATTTTCTAGGTACTCATTCTCATCC